AGTGCGACACTAGTGTGATCTGGTGTGATTCAAGGATTTGTACTGCGACCGTGCAAACAGAATCCCACTATAGTGGTAAGCTTGTAATCCCGGATCTACAATAGGTGTTTTAAGCCTTAAGCCGTAAGGAATTGACCAATTACCCCGGATCTACAATAGGTATTTTAAGCTTTAAGCCGCAAGAAATTGACCAATTACAGTCGAATCCGAGAAGAATAAGCGACTGTGATTCGCGCATTTCTTATGGCTTAAGGCTTAAAACCCTATTGTAGATCCGGAGTTACAGTCGAATCCGAGAAGAATAAACGACTGTGATTCGCCCATTTCTTATGGCTTAAGGCTTAAAACTCTATTGTAGATCCGGACTAACAGCTAAATCATACCAATAGTTGACAAATTTTAACAATGAGTTTAATTGTTAAAATCATCGTATTAGATGAACATGACACCTTTGAAAATTTCTCTGAAACTAATTATAATGATATTGATATATAAAATCATAGTAGAAAATTAAATCATCTCTGCTATATATATATACACATATATCATAAAAATTCTTATTGTTATATAAATTTATTTACTTCTTTATCCGAATACTCGTTTACAACATCCATGAAATTTGTTATTTTTGGTTTTTTTTCTTTTACACAACTAACAATAAAATTTGTAACCTCATCGTCACTACTGCTGCTTTCTAATATTTCGTTTAGAAATAAAAATCGGTTAAACGCCATCACTTCAGTCTAACCGCGATTATCCAGTAGTGTCAGTAAACTGCACTGTCGAAATTGGCAGTGCAAGAAATTTTGCACTCGTTCGGTTTGCTTTACCTATCCGAATATAAAGTCAGTGCTACACTAGTGTAATGTGACGCTAATCGAACACAGCATATGATATGTACCATAATAGTGTAATATTATCGAATACGACGAGTGCAATGCACCAAACAGGGACAATGCACCAAACAGAGGCCATCGATCGAATACGCTGCACTGGAAAAATTTACACTCAGTGTACACTAGTGCAGGCGACCGAATTCTCTATAAGACCGCCGCGTATACCGCGCTCGATAAACTTCACCATATCAATGTCGGTGAGCAGTTCGAAATTTACGCGTGTATGTTTCAACATAGCATCCTACGTAAAACCTGGTAAAGTATAATAATATGCAGGGTCGAGGCCGTAATTTTCAATACATTTACGCGAAAATTTTCAAAAATGTCAGCTAACAGCAATACGTCCGTTTTTAAATATAGATCGCTGTATTCACCCAAGGTTTGAACAGAGAACTGTTACCAAACGTTCACGGCGTGCGCGTAATCGTTTTCGGATACGATGTCACCGGTCAAGGAACTGTAGAATGACTCGCGCGATGGTAAACGCGTATCCTGCAGCTTGTCGGCACAATCAATGTATTCGTATGGAAAAATCCCTTTTCGTATCAGTAACTTGAAATCATCTTCGGACAAATTTTGAAATTCGCATTGTAAAATTCGAAGTTCATTTTTATTGAG